TCTTTATGATGAATAAAGCGATAGTCGTAGAGGGAAATTTAAATTTAATTAGATTTAATTGATAAAATTAAAAAACAAATGGAAGGATATGCTACATTAGTACTGTACGATAAAATCTAAATATGTTGCAATTTCTTAGAAATTTAAAAAGATTTTTGATACGATAACTTTTTAATATATATCTTTCGCAAAGTACCAAAATTAATGAATGGAAAAATTTATATTATTGTTGCCTCAATTTCGTAAAACTATTGTTATTTATCGGCAAAAATCCAATCAGTCAATTTATTTCAATAATTTGAACCGAAAAGCAACTCAAATTTACAGTTCATCCAAACAGGGTGTAATCACGTGATCTGCGGCCAATAAACTTGATTGTTTTGATCAACCCGGATCAGCCCGACGAAGAAAAAAAGAGTGAAAAAAGTAAAAAAACGAAAAAATACAAGAAACGAGTATCTAAACCTACCTTGGGGCATTAACAAAAAATGTCGGGAAGGCAATTTTACAATAAGACATGTCCTTATCCTAATTTCCGACTAACCCTTGCTCTAACTTTAATTAAAATAACAAAATCATATAACTGCACCCTGCTTTAAGCGACCCACAAAAAAAGCAAGAATCTTTAGATCTATTAAACACAAAACAAAATGGCAATGCGGTACTTAGCAAATGTTTTGTAAATTTTATTGAAAGTTGTTTATCCTACAGCTTGTAAAATGAAAGCTATAATTATAATAGGTTTCATAGAATTGCCCCAAACCCTATAATAACGAATAATTTATTGTACTAAATGCAATAGTTAACCTAATAAATTTTTAAATAGGTAAATAATACATGGTCACTTCAATATTGCTCTCTTCAAATGTGTTAGAAACACACTCATGAACAAAATCGAGTCTTAGGCCATCCAAACCTGCTCCAATACGAGGAAGGCTCAATTTGGTAACACCAAGTTTTTCGCATGAATTTCTCAATTCAACCAAAGATTTTTTAAAATCATCTTTAGTTGGTTTGTCCCAAGCAGTAGGTTTGGTTATTAAATAAAAGATGTACCGATTTTCACGGTAAAGATGAGCAACTTCACCAACTTTTTTATTTTGTTGTTTAAGTTCGCTGAGACCATTGAACTTTTTTTTGAAAATTGCAGCAATACCCTTGCCCATACGGAGATCTTGTGAAACGCAATGAGCTAAAGCATCGGTTGGATCTGGGTCGACAAATAGATCACCTTGTATTTCTTTGAAGGGCATTTTTTTTCAGCAACACTTGTATAATTTTTCTCTATATAATAGATACTATTCAAATGTAAATAAAAATGTTATATAATGATTCTTTAAGGCTTAATTTCATGAAGCTTCAGAAATGCTTACAGGTTTAAGTTTTTTTTTTTTTATCAAACGGATCAAATTTTACGTATTGGGACCATTTTGTACTTTATATGAGTGCGGAGAGTGAAAACCTGTAACCAATCATAGTAAATCATTAAATCTATTTCCAGGTTTTCACTCTCACACGCCCATATATACACATGCTCAATAGATAAGACATTGGGGTGTGTAACATAGTCTAATTACAATCATTCATTAATCAAGATTTTTATAGTGTACTGTAGATCAGCGTTAATTTAATAGTACGTAAAAAAACATAGAAAGCTCAAGCAAACCCACACAAATAAAATGATATTTGTCAGGTTCGTTATAATGTGCTCTTTAACGTAATAACGCTCCTTTTTTTTTATTTCTATTGTCTGGAGCGTAGCGGAGGGGATAAAATAGCAAAAATACCGTTCCTGATGGATCGTCGGTACTGTTCGGAGGAAAAATCGATTTACATACCGTTCCTGATAGGGTTCTAAAAAAAGGGCCTCCAAAATAATATACTATTACAGTGCGGGAATCCTTAAA